GGGGGGGGGGGGGGTGTTGGGGTGAGTTTGAATTGAGGAGAAGTGACTGAAATGACAGGTGGGAAGTGGGGCCATGATCATATTGAGTGAGAAATTGAAACCTAAGGTAGGGTCAATGGTTGATGCCATGGGGGAGACAGAAAGAAATAGGAGATGTTGGAAAATATCAATGCATATGTATTTCATTGGAGTTCAAATTCTATATAGCAAAGGGTCTGTTTGGTTGGTGAGATAAAGGACAATAATTTTAGGATTAGACCTAAGATTATTTTATCCCCGCATTTGGTTGAATTTTCGAATTTAGGATTAATAATTTTGGAATTAATTTATACCACAACTGGGATATTATTCTATATAGTAATTTCAAGGGTCTTTCCTCAAGTACTTTAATTAGAAATAAAAGTTTATCTCAGCTTATTTAGCAAACGCCAAATACATGCTTATATAGTCAAATGAAGCAAATATGTATCATCAATAAAAATATATCACTAAATAATCTCGTTACTATTTAATCTCCCGTATTATAATCACGTCATTATAAGTCTGTGATAACTTGCCTAACCAAACAATCCCTAATAGTGTAAAAATATTTACATATTCATATTACTTATAAAGTAATTACACGTAAAACTCTATGATAAACATCAATTTTTAATCTAGTAAAATTGATGGCTAATCTTAAAATATATTGGTAGTACAAAAAATCTTTATACGGTCCGTGTATATATATTAAGTTCAATTCAATTCAAGGTAATGTGGTGGTTTCACAAGAATCTATTTTCTCAGCTTTCCAAAATACTTATACCTTCTCTTGTTTTCCTTTTTTTTTTTTTAATTTAAATTTATTGTGTATTAATCCTTGTTAGTTTTTACTCATTTCCCTGAATACAGTAATGAAACATCTCAAAGACTCAAAATTAATATATAAAAAAAGTCTCACATATATTCGTAATTTCACTTAAATGGAAGAGTTATGAAATTCAAAATACAAATTGATATACAACATATCCAATTGAAACATAAACAATTTAGTTAATAAAGAAAAACTCTGTTGTTGTTGGTAAGGGGAGAGAAATTTCTGAAATATTCACTCGTTTCTTCAGTGTTTCTTTGCTTCTCTTTCCGCCTGAAAACATATCAAATTCACAATAAGAATGACTTAGTGGGGCGTTTGGACATAAGAATGTAAAATTTCAAAAAATGGTGAAATTTTTTTCAAGTGAAAATGGTATTAAAATTTAAAATTGTTTGGACATGAATATAATTTTGGATTTTTTTTGAAGTTTTGTGAGTGATTTGAGTGAAAAAATTTTGAAAAACAACTTTTTAGAGTTTTTCAAATTTTCGAAAATTTTCAAAATGCATCTTCGAGTGAAAATTGAAAATTTTATGAACAAACGCAGATTTCGAAAAAAAAGGGGCAAAAATTCATGTCCAAACAGGCTCTTAGTGGGCGTTTGTACGTATGAATTGTAAAAATTAGAGTTGTGCTTGGACATGAATATTATTTTTGGTTGTTTTTGAAGTTTTGTAAGTTATTTGAGTGAAAATTTTGAAAAACAGTTTTTTGGAGTTTTTAAATTTTCGAAAAATTCCAAAATTCATCTTCAAGTGAAAAATTTGGAAATTTCATGACAAAACACTGATTTAAAAAAAAGTGAAAATTTTTCCAACCGGCTCATTAAACCAAAATACACACACATATATATAAGAAAAATTCGTTCTTCAGAGTAATATACTGTCAATGTATAGAAATTAAACTGGTTCGTACCGCTTTGACGACCTTATCAAAGGCATCAGGTCCATATTTTTCTATGTATCTCTCAACTGCTTTTCTTGCATCTAAGCTCATCATTTGAAGAGCCTTTCTTTGGTTTTCAGGATAAGTTGAGCTAATTCGACTTCCAACTTTAACATGTCTTCTTATAAAATTCTCATGTATATAAGCTGCTCCATTGAAAATTGGTAGCACCAACCACATACAACATACAAGCTTTATGTATGGCCAAAATGGAAGCCTGTCAATGACATTACAAATGTAATATGAAAGAAATTCGGGCAGAGGCGGAGCCAGAATTTAAAGTTAGTGGATTCGATATTCTAGTCTTTATAAGTTATAACTGAGTTCTAAATGAATATTTTAAGACAAATACAGGATTTAAAACAAAGCTACTGGATTCGACCGAAGCCCTAGCTCCGCCACACTGATTCAGGATATACAAAACTATACACTGACAATGTAATAGAATGTTTATATAGGTTATCTAAAGATGACTACATGTAATCGTTCATTGTAAAAGGTGACTAGTAATATGAAAAATAAGGCAAGTAACATAACATATATAAGATGAAGAAATTCACGCAGAGGTGGAGTCGGGACTTAAAGTTAGTGAGTTCGTAATTCTAGTCTTTTTAAGTTACTGCGTTCTAAATGAATATTTTAAGACACATAGAGGGTTTGATCAAAGTTACTGGATTCGACCGAACCATAGCTGAAGCTCTAGTCCGCCACTAAGTTCAGGATATACAAAACTATACACGGATGATTTACTTGGATGGTTTTAGGTCATCTTTACATGTAACCGTTTATTGGAAAAGGTGACTAGTACTGTGAAAAATAAGGCAAGTAACGTGACATAAGATGAAGGCGAGCCTTGGAACAACAATAAACTTGCAAATATGTGACCTAGGTCACACGAGTTTCAAGCCGTGAAATCAGCCAATGATGCTTGCATCAGGGTAGATTGCTTACATCACCCTCTTGAGATGCGATCCTTTTTCGGATCCTGAGTAAACGCGGGATAATTTATGTAACGGACTGTTTTTTAATCCATGTATATAAGTTAAAAGTTACAAAATTATTTCTCTTGATGTTTGTACATAATTATTAGTTACCATTGGAGGATTTTCCAGCAAGATAACTCAAATAGAGTTATGAATGAGTAGAGAACCCAATAGGTTAGCCATTGTTGATCATCTAGTGGTGAAGGGCTCTCAATTGCTCGCATAGAACAATACCTATTCATTGAAAAATAAGAATGAATTAGTGACACATAATAATGTTGTGTATTCTATATATTGTGGATTTTCACTAGCAACTAAATTAAATGGCAACTTACAAAGGATAAAGAAGCTCCACTCCAGGGCTGTTAAGAAAAAGGGGATGGAAAATTAAAAGGTTAGGTCTTAATTTTTCAAAAATACAAAAAATTAACAAAAAATAACCAATAAAAATGAAGAAAATATACAATAGTCTTCAACCTTATTTTGCAGAAAATTAGCATGCATGCATGTTGAACATATATGGTTTTTACAATATAACAAAATGGTCATATAGTAGGACTGTTATATATACTATACACAAAATGGTCACATATATATATATAGAGAGAGAAATATGTAAAAAAAGACGATTTTTATATAGAAAAGATGAACATTGTATAGTCACTGTAAAAATAAAAGCAGAATAAATGTATACAATTTGTATATATTTTTTTTATTACATATACATCCTGTATGTTATATACAAAAATTATACAAGTTTTATACACTTTTTCGGCTACCAAATGTAAATAATTTTTGGTGCGGGCTAAAAGTGATAATACCCCTTTATATACTTAAGACGGTTTTTATATAATAGATGTAAAAACTTTAATATAAATGAATTAAATTTGTAAAAAAGATATAAAACTAAAAATTAATTTAAGAAAAAAATACCCGATTAGCCCATTCAAACTCTTAGCAATAGTTCCAAGAGCACCCATTGAAGAAATGATTTTCTTACTTTGCTCTCTTGCCTTGTGAAAAATTTCTTTTTATCCAATGAGAAAGGAATTAGTTGTGGAGAGAAATGATGGAATATAAAAAATATTCAAATAGTTGCATGATTTTATATACGTACTAATTATTAGGTATTTGGTAGATGAGAGAAGCAAGTAAAGGATATCTTTTCAAAGGAGAGAAAGTCTTCTTTTCTCCTTCACGAAGAAATGAGAATATGGTCAAGAAATTAAAGTGGAAATTAACACATGAGAAAGTGGTTGATTATATTCTTCATTACTATAATTACACACAACCTTTGCCTCTACCTATACGTCAACTATAACCTTTTTTTTTTTTTGGTTTCTACCCAGTGTTTGGTATCTGTATTAGGTCCCCATAAATACGGCTTCGTACTGAAAAATCCTATATTGGGAGGATAAAGTGTTCCATAAAAGGCGACTCCATAGAGTTTTATCTTTTTTGCATCTACCTCTACGTCAACTATATAGAGTTTTATCTTTTTTGGTTTCTCATCCGGTATTCGGTATTTGTATTGAAGCACAATTAAATTCATGAAATTCACAAGGCTCGAATCCAAGACCTGTAATTAAAAATGAAATAGTACTTACTACTCCACCACAAACTTTATTGATTACGAAGTTCCAGTTTGCCTACACTTGACCCCAACTGATTTGCTCTTAAACCACGTGAAATGATCTAGCTCAAAGGCTAAATTAACTATTTAACTATAAATATTAGCAGATTTTAGAAAATTGCCTTCAGATTTTGTCTTTGCGGTGGATTGCCATAGATTAGCACAACAATTTTGGCGAAAGTTTTCTTTTGTTTATAGAAAAGGGCAAAGTCGCGTTTGTTTAATGAGGGAAAAGTAAGTAGATATGGATTAGTTGGGTCACAATAACAGAAAGTGTTGTTGTGTGTGTGTGTGTGTTTTTTTATATATAAAATACAAAAGTTTTGGACAATTTTTGAATTTTTTTTTAAAACTAAACGGTAATATTTTGGGCCAAAAGCAACTCTTGTCTGTTGAGCTAGTTTTGGGATTTCAAAATTTGCCAAAATATAAATAAAATCTATAAACAAATAGGTATTTGTCAAAAAAAATTGAAAAATATTTGACAAAATCTATAACCAAACGGGGGCTATACTTCAGCCGTTAGTTAATAAGAGCAAATATTTTTCATTTGGAAAGAGTTAGGAGCAAATTTGACCCTTTTCGCATAACTGAAATACAATAATACATTCATCAGTCTAATTGTAGTTAAAAGATATTGATTATGTAAAAAGATGTATTAGCCAAATCTATTTTCCATTACGTTGAAAAATAAATAAATTGGGCCAGCAAAAAAATAGAAATGAGAAATGGTTAATTTGAAAAATAAAAAAATTAAAAGTAGAAGAAAACAAAACAGTAAATTGGACACTCAGAAAAAAAAACATAGAACTTGATAATGAGAGAATTCACGGGGGGTGGGGGGGTGGGGTGGAGATCAATGGGATCTCTACATAATAGCCGATATGTTGTTTGGTATATACAAATTATTCATTAAGGGGTCGTTTGGTTACCGGTTAGAGTTATGCAGGTATTAGTTATACATGTATTAGTTATGCAGGTATAAGTTATGTATGTATTAGTTATGCAGGAATAGGTAATGCAAGGATTAGTTATGCATGCAGTATTAGTTATGCAGGGATAAGTTATGCAAGGTTGAGTTATGTTGGGATTAGTTATGCATGGATTAATTATGCGGGGATTAGTTATACGGTAGTTATATAAGGATTAGTAATATAAATGTAATATGAGTGTTCTTTATTATTATCTTACTTTATTTTTATTAAAATTGTTAGTATAGTTTAAATATATTTATTTAAACAAAAAAATACAAGTTTGAATAAAGGGTATTCTTGTCATTTTGCGTTTTAATACAAGTATTACTAATTATGTATAAGTTATTCCACCTTCTACCTTGCATAAATAATACATAGATTCCCTCATAACTTATACATGTATTAGTTGTACATGTATTAGTTATGCGGAAAAGAAAACACATAAACCAAACATTGTATTAGCAATGCTATATTTTATGTGAAAAAGAGGAAAAAACAACCAAACATTGTATAACTTATGCTAGCTTCTATGTGGAGATTATTCTTCCCCCTTCTTTTAACCAAACAATGTATAAAGTTATCCTACATCTAATACATGGATAACTCCTCTCTAACCGGCTACCAAACGATCCCTAATTATATTACGAATTTACACATATTATACATTAATCGACTGTTTTTAATAAATTGGATTAAACGGATATTTTTAAGGGGTTGTTACACAAATAGCCGGCCAGATTCACTGTTTACTTTTTCTAGTCGCTATGCATAGATTATGCATTGGTTATACATATCTATACACATATTATACATGAATTATATATGTATTATATATCCGCCGGCTATTTTTAGTTTAAGAGATTAGGTGGATGACTATTTAGGTTAAATTCTTGGGGTAAATGACATTGTGTAGCCGCTCTAAAAATAATAGCAAACAAATGTATATTTTTTCGTGTATATATATTCTGTATGTTATATATAGGGGTGGAAAAATGGTTAAAAAAAACAGTTAACTACCCATATTATCCACTAAAAAATGGGTTGGATAATGAACTTAAAAACGGGTCAAATATGGATAAGACCATATTAACCATTTAGAAAATAGAACCAATGAATAACCAATGGGTAACCAATGGATAACCAATGGGTCTAACTTTTACGTTTGTAAAGCCTCAAATTGGGGGTTCCTCAAGTTAGACAGATTAAGAATTCTCTCAAAGGTGATTATATGCAAGAAGTCATGGATAATATGGTTACACATATTATCCGCCGGTTAACCCGTTTTTAATCCGTATTAAATATGGGTCGGTCAGATAATTTATCCGTTTTTTCATTACTCGTTTCGACCCGAACCATATCCGACCCCCCCGTTTGCCACTCCTAGTTATATATAAAAAATATACAAAGTTTATATAATTTTTCGGCTACTGAATGTAAATAGTTTCTAGCGCGGGCTCAGTGATAATACCCCTTAACTCTTCTATTCTTCTATAGTGTCAAACGGATCGAAGGTAGCCCCAATTCGGTGGAGCCCAAACAATAGGCCCAATAACTTGTCTCTTCGGGTTCGCGCCTTCTCTTGGCAACCCAACTTCACCAATTCTCGCTAACGAGACGCTCACTTCACTCTCATCTCTTCGTTTATCACACACAATTACACCTTCACTATGTGATTTCCTTCACACAAAAAACCTTAACCGCTTACAAACAAACCCTAACTTCCATCTGTAACAACGCCAACGTTCTTCAATTCTCGTAAGTCTCTCTCTCTCTCTCTCTCTCTCTCACACACACACACACATACTGTTTTTCTTTGTCTTTCTCTCTTGTTTCTCTCTCTTCATGTCATGTATGGTAGTATTATAATTGAAGCTGTTGTTTTGGATATATTTAGACCCGAAGTCCGAAAGAATTTTGGGTTAAATTAGGTTTCGGATCCGATATTCATAGGGTTTTAATAATATCTGTTTCTCCGACCCGACTTTTTATTTTTCGCCTACCCTAATGAATCGGATTATGGGTCGGGTACTGGGTCATGGAGACCCGGTTTGGTTGGGCAAAATTCTCTATTTTGTTGAGCCATTTACGCTATTACTCTTTAAATTTTGCCTTTTAATCTCTAATTTGTACTTAATGTTTGCATCTTTTGTTTTTTGAACAATAAAATTTGCATCTTTTATTTCCAAACAGTGTAGTGCTTTGTAAATTAATGAGGAATTTTTTTATGACTACCGGTGCCCGCTACCTCCCACTGGCATAGGTACGGGGTAATTTTGCCCAGCAAGATTTGAGCAGACGGGAAGAAATCACCTTGTGTTTTTTTAAATTATTGAAGAATTCCGGTGTATTGCTGGCTAGAATTTCATTAGTGCCTAGTTTAGTTGTGAATTTCTTCTTATTATCTTAGGTAGGTTTAAGTATCGATATGGGGCAGAATGGATATTCATATTGGCGATACCAACTAGTTTGGGATTGAAGTTATAGTTGTCTTGTGTTGCCTTAGATGGGTAATTTGAAATTTGAAGGTTTGTAGCTTAATTCACCTTTAGAAAAACATTTGATAAAGCTATAACAATAATTAGAAGACATTTGAAAAAGCTGTAACAATAAATAAATAAATAAAACATTTGATAAAGCTGTAAATCTTTTATGTAAAGTCTAAAGTGTGCAGATTTGATAGTGTATTCTGTCATGTTTAATGGTAGAAAGGTCTGGCTTTTATGTAATGTGTGTGGATGTGATAGTGTTTTTCTGTAATTTAAATGGTAGAAATGTCCTGTATAGGTTTATTTGTATATTATATATACTGATCCTCGCCCAAATATGTGGGTGAATTTGATAGTTATTTCTTAATTTAACTGGTAGAAAAGTCTGGCATAGGTCTATTGGTAATTTGGTATATTATATATACATAGTGATGCTCGCCCAACGAATAAGGCCAACTGTGTATACCTACATTCTTTCCACCACTTAATGGTAGAAAAGAAAACTTGAAATGCAGAAAGTTGTGTTATTTTGTTTGCTCATTAAAACAAGGTATCTTGTTATTTTGGTTGACAGCGAATGATCTATATTGACCACTTTTTTTGTCATGTTTTCTTCGGAACTCTTCACGAGTTTGCTTCCATTTTTATTTGTTAAAAGTTCATTTTTGAGCATGTTGTAGTTGACGATACTTTACTAATTTAAGGGTATCTTGCACCAGAGAGGATCCTTCAAGTTTTTTTTAAAAGTTTAGCTCGTCGGATCTTGTGTAAGCTAGAAGCCATCTTACAAGTTGCTGGTGCTATTGAAGTGTATGGTTAGTAGTAGCACGGTCAAGAATTCTAACAAGGAGATTAAAAAAGTTAGAATGTCCACCTAGCTCTCGACCCTGTAGCTTGAAGCAATTTTTGAGCCACCTTTGCTGCTACACTAGAAGATTCCTGTATGCCAAAAAAATTAGTCTTTACCTTATTTGTGCAGTATAATTTTAAACTACGGGGATTTAATTGAAGGCCCTTCATGCAATATACCTCTGTCCCTGACGATTACTTTGTACTTCCTTTTTCTCCCAAGTATTACTTATTATTTCTTTAATAAGCTTTTTTAGAGGCTGAGGTTCCTAATAGTTGATAGAAATAGTTGTACAACCTTTATGTGCATTGAGACCTTCCAATTAGTGTTGAAATATTTATTATCATTTCTAAGGTTTGTCAATTTCTGGCAAGATATATATGACGTCTTTGTGCTTGTTGTGATTGGAACAGCTATATTCATCTGGTAATTAAAAGAACAGCTTGATTACGATTAGCCTTTGTGTTATTGAAGCTTTATTGTCTCTTCATTTATTCTGGTTTAGAACTAATAAGTGTCTTTGAACTTTCCCCATGCTCCCTAAAAAATTTCTCAGGTATTGCTACAGTCGGAAGCAATGGAGATAGCTGAGGAAGCAGTTATAGTCAATTCTAGTAGACTAAAATCTGTTGTGTGGAATGATTTTGATAGAGTAAAAAAAGGTGATACTTTTGTGGCTATCTGTAGGCACTGTAAAAGGAAACTTAGTGGGTCTAGCACCAGTGGGACTTCACATTTAAGAAATCATTTGATCAGATGTCGTAGGAGATCAAACCATGACATAAGTCAGTTGCTTACACGGGGAAAGAAAAAGGAGGGAACCCTTGCCATCTCGAATTTTAGTTTTGATCAAGAGCAGAGGAAGGCTGAAGCAGTCAGCATTGTGAGGACTAAGTTTGAACAAGGGCACACAAGAGATGGGTTACTCAACAATGGGATTAACTTTGATAATAGGCGAAGCCGGCTTGATCTTGCTCGCATGATCATATTACATGGCTATCCTTTGTCTATGGTTGAACATATTGGTTTCCGTATATTTGTCAGAAATCTTCAACCTTTATTTGACATTGCAACATTTGATGGAGTTGAGGCTGACTGCAGGGAAATTTATCTGATGGAGAGACAGAAAGTATATGAAGAATTGGACAAATTGCCTGGGAAAATCAGCCTTAGTGCTGATACATGGACTGCTAATGGCGATGCTGAATACTTGTGTTTGACAGCACATTACATAGATGACTCTTGGCAACTGAAAAAGAAGATTCTGAATTTTTTAACAACTGATCCTTCCCAAACAGAAGACATGCTTTCAGAAGTTATCATGACTAGTCTAAGAAATTGGGATATTGACAGGAAATTGTTTTCTGTGACATTTGATAACTACTCGACATATGACAAAATTGTAAGTAGAATCAGAGAGCAGCTTTGCCAGCACAGGTTTCTTTACTGTGACGGTCAATTATTTGATACACGCTGTGCAGCTAATGTTGTCAAGTTGATGGTCCAAGATACCTTAGAAACAGCAAGCCCGATAATCCACAAGGTCCGGGAAAGTATTCGGTATGTTCGAAGTTCACAGGCAAACCAGGAAAAGTTCACTGAGATGGCTCAAATTGTTGGGGTTGATTGCCAGAAGTGCTTGAATCTTGATAATTCATTTTATTGGAACACAACATATATCATGATTGAAACTGCTTTGGAGTACAAAGATGCATTTCCCCTTTTGCAAGAACATGATTCTGGGTATGGAATGTGTCCATCTGCCACAGAGTGGGATAGAATAAGTGCCATTGCTAGCTTCCTAAAGCTCTTTGTTGAAGTTTCCAGTGTTTTTGCAGGAAGCAAGTATCCTACTGCAAATACATACTTTCCAGAGATCTGTGATATTCATTTGCAGTTGATTGAGTGGTGTCAAAACTCGGATGATTTTGTTAATTCTTTGGCTCTAAAGTTGAAAAGCCGATTTGATGAGTACTGGAAAAAATGTAGCTTGGCTTTGGCAATTGCAGCTATCTTAGACCCAAGATACAAGATGAAATTGGTTGAATACTATTATCCTCAAATATATGGTGATAGTGCTCCAGACTGTATTAATATTGTCTCAGATTGTATGAAGGCTTTGTATAATGGCCATGCTATTTACTCACCATTAGCTCCTAACGGTCAAGCTGAAGCATCTCAAGTTGGTGGTGCTGGTGCTGGTGCTAATAATGATCGGCTGACAGGGTACGACAAATTCATATATGAGACTTCACAGAGCAACAACATAAAATCAGATTTAGATAAATACTTGGAAGAGCCGCTTTTCCCGAGAAAAGCCGATTTTAGCATATTAAACTGGTGGAAGGTTCACACTCCAAGGTATCCTATTCTGTCCATGATGGCACGGAATATTCTTGGAATGCCTATGTCAAAAGCTTCATTAGAGTTTGTATTCAACACTGGGAATAAAGCTCTTGAACAGTATCGCAGTTCGCTAAGATCAGATACCTTGCAAGCTTTGATGTGTGCCCAGGACTGGATGCGCGATGAATTTGAAGGTTAATATTTAATTTTGTAGTTTACAATTATGATATATTCTTATATTATCTGTGAAGAATAATTCTGAATTTTTGATCAACAGATTCAAGGGCTTCATCGAGCACCGTTACTCTGGCCCTATGCTATGATGCAAAATAATAGCAAGCTTTGGTTATGCTTTTGTCATTCCAGGTTGCCATTCTTTTGCCTTCTGTGTATATTAGCATCTTCTAAACAGTTTCTCTCCTTGTTATGTTAAGATTTTGTAGAAATTAGTTCATTTGAAGATTTTGCTTTCCAGAGCTTCCATAAGTTGGTGATAGAAATCATTTGCTCTAACTTTATGCCAAACATCAGATGGGATCTTTTGTTCAAGAATCTAACAGTTTTTGCCGTGTTAGGCCCCATCAGTTAACTTATTTATCTGTATGTAGTTTTGTTTTTTCTTCTCATTGTGCTATTTGAACAAGTCAAACTGGAAGCCTTTTCCGTGGGGGTGGATCGTTCAGAACTTGGGTAACTCATGCTCATTATGGTCAGTGATTTGTTCATCTGAACCAGCTGAGTGGAAAATTGCGAGGTATTCTTGGATTTTGCAGCTTTCGTTCCCATGCTCCAGCCTACTAGGAGATGGTAGAGTCTGCTGTTTTGTATTTCAACCTCCTAAGGTGCGACGGTTGCAGCCGAATAAAGGGAGAAGTGAATAATGAGTTATTCAAACTAATGGAGAAAATATCCAAAGAATTTTATAGGGTTTTTGCTTACTATGGGACCTTACAAGAACCATATGTAGCATGGCTCTAATTTCAGATTTTCGAATATTTGGTATATTCTAGGATGTCCAAGTTTTTATTTCAAACCTAGCATTGGACACCCCAAATCCAGCAAATGGTGAAAGTCCATGACAGTTTTACTTTTTAAAGTTCAAAATCCATGACAGTCATAGTGGCTATTTTCAAATATTGGCTACTTTTTAAAAATTTGATCCAAAAAGTAGCTAGCATGTAAAGTTTTCACGTATAAAGACTAGTTCCTAAATTTGGCCCATGCATATTGGTCAGCGATCAAGCAGATTATAAGCGGTATTATCACTTTTAGCCCGTGCCAGAAACTATATACATTCGATAGCCGCAAAAATATATAAAATTTGTATAATTTTTGTATATAACATACAGAATGTATATATGTACACAAAAAATATACAAAAATATATTTTTTCGACTATTATTTTAAGAACGGCTATACAATGTCATTTTCCTAAATTATAACCTCCCGCTTCATAAGCAGAAGTTTCACAAGCTCATTGGGAACTTTAGAATCAAGGGTCTAAAATTATAAAAAAAAATTGTTAAAAATTTTATGACTAAACTTTAGACCACTATTGATTATTGTTACAACTGCATAAGCTTATGTCAAAATCAATATTTTATGACAAACCTACAATCCGTTCGATTGGTTCTAAAAGTAATACTTTTGTTGCTCATAATATAGTCAATATTCTTCGTGGGTTCAATTTTAAATATGTTAGAGTAGATCATTTTATATTATCAGATTACTTGAAAACTGAAATCAACTATTTTATTATATGTGAACTTGTTTCATTGGACACAAAAATTTAGGAGAAATCAATTTTTTTGTAACTTGTGATACTCAACATATTTACAAAACCAAATGAAACGTTTAGATTATTTTAAATATAAAAAAGTATTATTAATTTTAAAATAAATTAAAAAGAAAACGATATCAAATGAAATGGATTGAAGGGAGTACAAATGTAAATAAGAATATAATAAGTACTAGTTAGGGGTTATCTGGTTGATGCTAGTGGTACTGGAGTAATTAATTCTAACTTAAATATTTGGTTTGCCGCAAACAACAGTGTAACTAATGCTATATTTGGTGAGTGGTATTAAACAAGATCTTCATTATTATTAGGTTAATGGTATTAAATAATATCCTCATTAAGTTATACGAAAAATGTATATAGTATTCTATGCAACGACATAATATGAAATAAAACATGTGCATTAATAATAGGCGATTAAAAGAAAAAATGCCTTTTAAAATAATTAATTTATGTCTAACAATCTTCTCATTTATAATCACCAAATAAACTAATTTTTGAATCAAAAGACCCAACTTTTTTTTTATTTATATAAATCGTACAGTACTATAATTTCTTCCCCATCTTCACTCTTTAACCACCTCAATACTTTCAGGCCACTTCTGCTAAAACCAGTCAACGACTTCGATTTCTATCATCTATAGCCTTTTTTACAGACATTGAATGATAAAATGTTTTCAGGTAATTAAGCTTCATATTGTGATTCTTTTTTTGTATATATATATATTTATGCTAAGTCTATCTATAATGGGTGCATTCTCACTTTAAAAAAAAAAAAAAAAAAAAAAAAAAAAAAAAAAAAAAAAGTTTTCGAGTTTATCCAAAAAGGTTTTGTTTGAGTTAAATCTCAAAAAAGAAAAAGGAAAGTGACTTTTTCTTTTGAAGATTTTCAAAATTTGAAAGAAACTGAAAAACTTCAAAAACTATGTTGGCTGTGCAGACAAAGTCCCGCATATAGCTGAAAAAAGTAGGGATACAATTAATGGTGCGACGCCTTTTGGAAAAACCATGGGATCTTGATTAAGAGTATGTGTGGACCGGTATGGCCCAACATGCTGGTTTTAGGAGTTTTTGAAAGATTTGAAAAACTTATTTTGATTGCAAATCTTTCTAAATAATGGAGTTTTTTGGAGCTAAATTATTTGTTTTCAATACAAATTAAAAACTGGAGTTAATCTATTCTATCAGACAATGGAAAAGGAAACTTGATTGATCAAACCCATGCTCCACATCTACTGTTGTTTGCATGATATTTATCACACTTTTGTCAACTTGAACTCTGGATTTGGCCTATTGTTAAGTTGTCTCCAGATGTAACTGTGAGAGAGTAATAGTCCTATTGTTTTCATTGTTTACCAGGCGTGCTCGAACGAGTAAAGATGGTACTCAAGCTACCGAATAATGTCCAAAATAAACGACTGCCTATTGTGATTGCATTTCTACTCTTCATTTCTGTTCTATATTTGGTTTTGTATCGAGAGAACGGAGAGCAATCTGGTTCATCATCTGAGATAATCAAACAGAATTGGGATAGTTTTAGCTCTGTGGTTAAGTTAGAACCCACAGTAGAGTTCAGGAATGGCACAGATATAATATGGCAAATCCCTGACTCACCTAAAGCAATTCTTTTTCTTGCACATGGTTGTGATGGTAAAGCAGCTAACTTTTGGGATAGATCATCTAAGTGCCCGAATTGTGTCGGTCTACCTGAAGAGAGGCTTCTTACACTTAATGCTTTAGCTAGGAAATTTGCAGTTATCGCGGTATCAAGTGCTGAGGCGTGCTGGTCGTTCAAAGAGGAAAGATTCACCGTCAAAGATATCATTGAGTGGTGGATTGCTAAACAAAAGCTTCAACATTTGCCTCTTGTAGCTTTGGGTGCTTCCTCTGGAGGATACTTTGTTTCAATTCTGGCGACTGATTTAAGATTTAGTAGCATCACGGTAATGATTATTGAAGGATTGTATGATCAAATGGAGATTCCAGAGAGTTATCCGCCCACCCTTTTTGTGCACATGCCTAAAGATAAAAGTAGGATGCAGAAACTAAAACGATTCGCGATACTCCTGAAGGGAAAAGGCATTGATGTTGCAGAAGTTAAATGCTTGGAGTTTCCTTTGTCGCCTAGTCTGTTTGCTGATAGAATCCCTGGTATTGATGTTGCTACCTCGGCGAAGTTGTTTAGTCTATTCCAGGAAAAAGGTTTCATTGATAAGAATGGTTTCATGACAAATGATGGGCGTGATATACATTGGAACAAGACTCTCCAAGAGAGAGGGATTGTTCTCCCGGATAAGTCCTTATCGAAGCACATTGAAGAGGAAATGAATCTTGCATTTGCTTTTCATGAAATGACCAGCTTGCAATCCGAGCAAATATTCAACTGGTTTGAGACTCATTTGAGCTAATCAGGTCTTCTGTCCTGCGTAATGTCCTCTAACAGCACGGGAAGAATGTCACTCACTCTGCTTTGGACTGCTGACAATACCAGAATAATGTCATTTGGTGCTAATAATATTTTGACCAGGTCCATTCCACTTGCTGTGCTTGCATTTTAATGGAATTAGCTGCTGAGTCCATTAAGTATAGATGGACCATGATGCATCTAATCTAGGTTGTAGAGTTGTTTGTTGGTTGATTTCAGTTATAGATATGTTGTATGAGAAAGGGAGCCTTGGGGTTCGAGCCATGAAAGCAGCCACTAATACTTGCATTAGGGTAGGCTGTCTACATCACACCCCTTGAGTGCGGCCCTTCCACAGACCCTGCGTGAACGCGAAATGCCTTATGCGCCGGGCTGCCCTTTAGATATGTTGCACGAATAGTCCTGCACTTCTTAAAAGCTTATAATGTGGTGAACAAAAGGTGTAATGTTGTACGATTGCTTCTTTAATATTGTGGGGTTGCTTTTTGCCAACCCTGTTGCTCAGAATCAAAACTATTCATCACGATGTCTCATTGAGCAATCTTTTCAAGATCTCATTAAGACTACTGAATCTTTTGTTTGCTTTATTACCTTTAGACATTGATTATTTATTTGTTTTAAGCCATTGATGTGCCTTAAAAACCAGAATCAAACTGGTATGATGAAGTTTAAAACTGAAATCTGAACCTTTTTGGCTCAAACTGTTGTGTCATCTACTTGTGCAAGTTAAACATGAGAATGGAACTTTGGGGAAAAATGACTGATTAAGTGATGCAAACCAATGACATGCCCGGAGCTTGGGTAATTATCTTAATGAAAATGTCTCCGAAATGAGAAATGTGTCTTATGTTACCCTTTTCGCAGAGTTCTCTTACATTGACTTGCGGTTGTACCTGCAAGTTTTAACTTTTAACAGCTTATTTGCAAAGGTAAAAGTCTTGGATTATCATCCGGACACAAATAATGCACATGCAATTATGGATAACTGTTTTGGAGCTTGGTCTCTGAACGAACACTACATTTGTTTTCATGTGCTCCTTTACTGTGACAGGGGGAGTTTTCGGAGGTTACAGGTTCAAGCTACAGAAACAGCCTCTTGCAGAAATACAAGGTAAAGCCGCATATGATAGACAAAATGTGGTCAATTCTTACCCTGGACTCCATATATAGCAGAATCCGCGTACAATAGACACAATATTGTCAATTCTACTGCTTAATTATTTTTCTCCTATCAGTAAACTTTGTTGAAGAAAGATCATCTAACGGCGATAAGTTCTTTTCCAATTTATATAGGTGGTTGTAGACATGTGCCTGTCTCTCTTTACAACTTTTAAGGTTTATTTGTGGAGATTCTGGAACACAGCACGCTGATCTAATACAATACTACATTGTTTTTAATTTGGAAATATGATTTCTTTACAAAGAAGACATTCAAATGTTTCTGAAATCTGCATAAGGCAATCTAACACATAGCACATCATCAAAGTAATAATTTACATATACCTGATTATAAAGCAAGTACATCCTTAACGGCCTCTATTCCTGACGTGAACGGCCGCTTTCTTAATAATTTGGTATCCTCTTGAGACATTAAGATTCAACCCTAAAGCGAACTCACAGGAAATCACAATGAAACTGGACATAGCAAGATACACAGGGACTATGGAAATATGAGTTTTTCAGGCTTTGGGCTTGAGTCGACCCTCGTTGGCTAACTTGAATATCCGCGCTTGAGCTGCTGCAGCCTTGTCTGAACTGAGTGCTGCAACAAAACTATCCCTAACTTGTTTGGTACTGTAAGCGAAATTCTTGCTCACCATGGAGTTCAGCAAAGAAGCTGTTCCTTCCCTGTAGAGCTCCCCAACGCCATCGGCACGAGGGTTTGAAAGTGCTTGCAGCAGGTTCAAGTTTCCCCCGAACCCTGGAGCACCAGCCACACCAAATGCACTACCAACAGTTGCCCACCAGCCAAACAAGCCCCATATTAGAGCCGGGTTAGTGCTCCAGTAACTGCTATTCATAACATTTCATGTTAGTATATGTTGCATACTGCAATTGACTATGTAAAGCTGATGACACAATTCACTTACTCGAGCGGGAAAGGTGGTGAGTTGGGATCAAATAGAGGTGGAGGTATGTAAATACCAGGAGTGCTTGGAATGCCTGGGTCGATGATTGGAGTAGTTGGTGGAGTTAGAATTGTGGGAAAACCGGGGGTACTAGGTGTAGGAAAACTTGGAGGGCCTCCACCAAAAGTTGGAGGCGAGGGATAGTTGTAACCGCCCGAAGGTGGTGAATAGGGGTCAAATGGAGCTGAAGGCGTGGATATCCCAGGGGTGCTTGGGGTGTCTGGGCCAATGATAGGAGTAGTTGGTGGGGTTACAATGGTTGGTGTGGACGGTGTGCTAGGTGTAGGAATACTTGGAGGAGTTCCACCGTAAGTTGGAGGGGAGGGATAGTAACCACCTCGAGAAGGTGGTGAATTGGGGTCAAATGGAGGTGAAGGTACGGAGACGCCAGGAGTGCTTGGCGTGCCTGGGCCAATGATAGGAGTAGTTGGTGGGGTTACAATGGTTGGTGTGGACGGGGTGCTAGGTGTAGGAATACTTGGAGGAGTTCCACCGTAAGTTGGAGGGGATGGATAGTAACCACCTCGAGAAGGTGGTGAATTGGGATCAAATGGAGGTGATGGTACAGAGGCGCCAGGAGTGCTTGGCGTGCCTGGGCCAATGATAGGAGTAGTTGGTGGGGTGGGTGTAGTAGGGGTACTTGGAGGGGTTCCACCAAAAGTTGGAGGGGAGGGATAGTAACCACCTCCACGACCTCCAGAAGGAGGAGGTGGACTGGGATTACGACGCCCCCCTCCACTTGGCGGATTGCCACAGTTAGCAGGCGGTGTTCCTCCATGGCCACCGCCTCCTTGAGAGGGTGGTGTTCCTGAGCCGCCTCCTGAGCCATGCGATGGAGTTGTTCGCGAAGCTGTCATAAAATATATAAAATTGTGAGATTGAAGGAGATTTGCATGAACCTGTCTACAAGCAAAAATCTAGTCCGAATTTGGAAAAAGAATCCTATTATCCTAGATATCTTGATTCAGCAAACATTTAGTAGTAATAATAACATTTCTTATTTGTCTTTTTTAGTCCAGTATCTAAGCAAATATTAAGCTTATAACAGAGAGACTGAAGCAAAATGCAAAAACAGCATGACATAGAGAGGTAAGGGCAGACATCTTGGAGGACTTCTGATATTTGGGTCCGGAGAGTGATAGGTTTTCTTTTCTTCATACGCCGCAGTAGACATGACAGGAATGAGCAAATTCTGTGAGAGCAAAGCGGCAACTGCAGCCCACAGGATTAGAGAAGTTTGCATGTTTTTCTCCTTTACCATCTTGGTTTGCTCTCAAGGAAACTAAAGGAGAGAAAAAGAGAATGAATAAGAGGGAGTTTTGGGGGGGGGGGGGGTTTAAAGAGTTTAACTTATGTCTAGTGATACAAGAGAAGAGTTGTATATATAAAGAGTAATGATGTACATAAGTTAATATAAGCAGGTTGAAAGAGTTTGAGGTTAGCTGTATATGTTGCAGGTTGCATTTAAGGTGTCATTTAAATCTCATATTGCAGAATATGGACAAAGGTCCTTCATTACTCTAAACATATCCAATTATGTCATTTATCATGTGACCAGGAGGTCACAGGTTCGAGCCATGGAAACAGCCTCTTGCAGAAATGAAGGCTAAGGTTGCGTACATCAGACCCTTGTGGTCCAGCCCTTTCCGGGACCCCGCGCATAGCGGGAGCTTAGTGCATCGGACTGACCTTTATTGGGGGGGGAGTAGTAAAGACTTTAACTGATGTTTAGTGATACAAGAGAAGAGCTGTATATAAAGAGTAATGAGGACAGAAGTTAATATAAGCAGGTTGAAAGAGTTTGAGATTAGCTGTATATGTTGCAGGTTGCATTTAAGTTGTCATTTAAATCTCAGATTGCAGAATATGGACAAAGGTCTTTAATAACTTTAAACATATCCAAGTATGTCATTGTCACAAATTCAAAATACTTTCCATAGTATAAAATGTATGACCATATCAACACTTTCTGGCTAGGAGAATCTTTGTAGAATTGCCTGTATTATTATGTGGAATACTGAAATGTGTTCAAGTCATATGCTCTGCTGCTACTTATGAAGTAAATCTCACTTATATAGTGAGAGAATTGCTTATAGAGATCCGTACCAGCTTAAACTTTAGTTGGTTGAAAATTGAGACGTATTGCTTATAACGGTGATATTGAAAGTTCACGCCCTAGGAAGCCTACCACCCCCTTCTTTTCACTTGATACAAAGCAGCCGAAGCTATGTTGCTCGGACTCTCCGAAAATATCGCCGGTTGTGTGTCGGATTCTCCAAAAGTAGTGTATTTTTGGAGAATCCGACACGGGTGCGGCAGTATTTTGGAGAGTCCGTGCAACATTAAGCCGAAGTATCTATCACCTTTCAAATCTCAATCTAGCAACAACATCTGGAACCCCACTACTATCATTCGCCTTTATAATTATCACTAATCTATGCTCTTCCGGAAGAGCCAGCTCCGTATAATATGCGAAGCAGCTGAGTCATAGCTCTCCGATATATATATATATATATTAACCTTACCCTCCCCCTTGACTCGCGGAGGGGGGAGGAGGTCTCTTTCTTTCTTTCCTGACAAGTGACAACATTTTGTATCATGCATTTCATTTCATTTTGTGTTTTTTCTATTGTGAAAAGAGAAGAAAGATAAAAGATTTCTTTTCTTTTGACAGACATGATAAATATGAGACTTGATGTCTTCTCAGACAGGTAGGTGAAGGAATACTGCATTGAATTGCTGTACTAAATGAGACAGCAAAATTATTGTCTCTCCCCCTGGGATTTTGAGCTTTTAAATTCTCTCTTTTTGTGTCAAAGCCACCTGTGACTGTTGTGGATGAACAAGAGCTGAGTTTGGTAATGAACCCCTTCACATCTTTTGATTTTTTATCTACCGTTTAATATTTGCTTTCTTGAGCCGAGGGTCTATTGGTAACAGTATCTCTATCCTTACAAGGTAGGGTAAGGTCTACGTACACACTACCCTCCCCGGACCCCACAGTGTGGGATAATACTGGGTAGTTGTTGTTGTTGTTGATAAGTATGCGAGGCAAGAATTGAGTCCAAGATTTCATGTCGATGAGTTCAGAATGAGTGTGATCTTATTATTGTTATATTCATACATTTAAACATATACAAAACTAGTTTTAGGTCCGCCTCTAAATGCAGCTAGATGTGCCTAAAGGCAAGGGCGGAGCTATACTTGTCCAACAGGCCAAGAGGATTTAAGTCGACGTTTTTTTGATATATACTATACGTAGAATATTCTTGACATTTTCATGTATTTACTCTTTATATTTTAATTTTCTTAATAAAATTCCTGACTCCGTCGCTACTTAGACAACAGTCAACTGAGTTGTAATAAATGTATAGAGATGAGACCATCATTAAGATGAGGAGACCCCATTTCCATTGGCATTATCTGCCGCTTCAAAATAACCCAATGAGGCCCTTGTCGTATATTAGTAATTACATTCATCTAATTACCAATTTAGTCACTTAAAGCTTGTTTGGACGGTTGTTATCTATTGTATTGTATCGTATTGTTATTTTGAATATAATGTTTGTTTTGATTGTTATTTTAATTTTATTGTATCGTATTGTTAAATTCGTCATTATGCAACGATGAAAAGTGCTACTTTATGAAATGGCGGATTTGGTGTGGTGGCATCGTTACCTTGCTTTTTTTCTCTCATCTTGCCCTTCTTTATTATTAAATAATCATATTTTATTCTTTATCCTGCTTTTTTATACAATGATTCCACTTTGTATCCTATTTTTTCTTGGTAATGTTGCAAGTTTATTTTTTTTAACTGTTGGTGGACGGTTAATAGTACAATCTATTCAACCGGTGTATTCATTGTACGATACATTATGAAACGACATGTAACAACAATCCAAACAAGCCGTTAATAGTGTTTTATTTATGAATCTAAAACAAGCAAAAAAATTGTAAAAACAATGTCATTGATCGTCATAGAAATAGGAAGCATTATTCTCCATTACAAATCCTAATTAATGATAAAGAAGTTAGGATTTCTTTTTAAAATAATGAACAATCTGGAGGACTTTATTCTTGTCTTTTTCTTTTAATATGCTTTGACAAATTAATAATTTAATTAAACATTATTCCTTTTATTTCTACTTTTTAAGGCATTATATGAATTTCAAGTTTCTTGTCTGATGTTATTAGATGAGGATATGAAAAGAGATATGGAGAATCAATGTATGATTTGTAAATAATAGAAAAAATAAATAAATGTAATATTACATTTACAAATGATAAAAGCATATTAAAAGAAATAAAGCAAGAAAATGACTTTGTCAGATAGTTTTATTTATTTACCTGCAACATGCCTATTTTGAGCTGTTCGAGATGATCAATGACGTGACTATGCGAACGCTTGAAGTTAAAAAATAAAAATGAAACATTGAGACACAATATATAGGGGAAAATCTAACCTTAATTTAATATAGTATCAAAATAAGTCATTAATATTAAATTCAGATTTTGCCATGTATTAATGTATTGTCACATATTTGGCAACAAGATATGAGTTAAATCATTTCGCGGAATATTATTCAAACATGATATTGGAAGGGCGGTATATGCCTTGCTTCCGCTGGAAGGGCGGACCCGCTTTGAATCCGAAAGAGAAGGAGGTGTGTCGTCGTGTCGGTCTAGTCGACCCAATCATGTATTGGAAGAGGAAATCTTTTCTCGAAAGAGAAATCTTGCAACTATGAAAACCACAACACAAGCACCCATTTTCTGTTTATTCTATCTAGGAGTGGCAAACGGGCGGGGAGGGTCGGATATGGTTCGGGTCGAAAATGGGTAATGAAAAAACGGATAAGTTATCTGACCCGACCCATATTTAATACGGATAAAAAACGGGTTAACTGGCGGATAATATGGGTAACCATATTATCCATGACTTTCTGCAGATGAAGAGGCTTTACAAATGTAAAAGTTAGACCCATAGGTTAAACATTGGTTACTCATTTGTTATCCATTTTCTAAATGGATAATATGATTTTTATCCAAATTTGACCCGTTTTAAAAAGTTCATTATCCAACCCATTTTTAAGAGGATAATATGAGAGGTTAACTGTTTTCTTTTAACCATTTTGCCACCCCTATTTCTATCTAAGAAAAATAATGTGTAACTGTACTTTAAGCTAGAAAAAATAGTGTAATTAAGTAAATAAGTCAAAGAATATAAAACGAATGAATAGTGATTCTCGACATTTCCATGATAAATTTTCTTGACAAAGGTCTTTTTCCTTATTCAAATAAGATTAAAGTAAATAATTGTTACTAGACCGTCTAATATTTCAGATGAGGTTCTATACAAAATTTAATTTAGTATCAGAGCAGATAGGAATCGAGTTTCACCTATATAAATAAATAAATTTTACAAGCACCAACTACTCCAGCTCTTACGAAAAAGTGTCTTCGTGACAGACAGTCGTGTGCACTAATAAGTTCCCTTTTCACTGTAGGTTCAATCAGGGGCGGAGCTAGCATAAGACTTGCAGGTTCGGCTGAACCGAGTAACTTTAGTCCAAACCCTGTATTTATCTTAAAGAATTTTATAAATATGTATAAATTATTAACTTAGAAAACGAACTAAAATATCGATGTACAATTAGGTAACAAAGTTATGCTTTTATAAAGACTTGGGAGAAATTTTAATGGGCATTCCTTTAGAAGGGAAGGGAACTGGTTCTGCTATAATTTGTTCATCTAGATATAACAGTGACCATTTGTATTGAGTCACAACATAATGTACAAAAATGAGAATGTTTAGCTTTGCCAATTGATAGCCAGCACATAATCTTGGCCCTCCACCAAATGGCACAAATGCATATGGTTGAATTGGCTTGTCAAATCTACTTGGATCAAATTTTTGAGGATCTTTAAAATACTCTGGACTATAATGTGTTCCATATGTTGTCCACAATACCTACACAAAAACAGAAAAAATTAAGACCATTTTAGATCACATCAATGGATGAAGAATGAAAGAATGCTTTTGTTGATGTTTTATGCACTGACGGTTTAAAAGATATTTACACATTACTAAAAAGGTAATCGCAGGTAGGTAACCTGCTATAACAAGTTTAACGCTTATATAAAGGGCAGCAGGTGTACGAAGCTTCCCACGTTCACACAGGGTCCAGGGAAGGGCCGCACCCCCAAAGGGTATGATGTAGGCAGGCTACCCTGATGCGAGCGTCGGTGGCTGATTCCACGGCTCAAACTCGTGACCCAGTGGCGAATCTACCTTTGGAGGGATTTGGCCAAATTGTGCAATATA